ATGTGTTATGTCTCTAGCTTCACACGAAACTTTTAGGTCATTGTTACTTACTCCTTTTGGCCCAGGAGGCAATGGGCCTCGGATACACAGAGCTACTGTTGAGTAAGAAGTGAGCATTGTTGAGAAAATTAGCCCTGCTTTTGATGACAATAGGTGACTTGTTTCTCCTAAACAGAAAAAAGCTCAGCTATCCGAATGGAAAGAGAGAAAGGACTGGTTGCATTCAGAGATTGTACTTAGACCCCTCTGGACTCTTAGACAACAAATCAGTGATTCAGAATTTCCTGGGCCTAGACTACACATTCTGCTCCGTGAGGGCCACAGCGGTACAGAACCACGCAGGACGGAATTAGTTGCTAATGTGAATATAGTCAGCCTGAAAACACAACCAGTTCTGTGGTTGGTTGCTTGGTTTGTTTTGATGTGCTGGAATAGAAGGCAATGTTCCAGGGAACTGGAAAGGATCTCTCATTTCAGGACAATGCTGTTTCTTGATTATATTTCTAGTTCCTGCTCACATCCACGGCAGACTAAGGGGGAGTGGCCCACGCAGCAAAGGGCCTTTCCATCTCAGCAGTGTGGACAGAACAAGAAAGGTCAGGACAGGGTGTAGAAGGATGCTATTTACTGGCTAGCAGTTTGGAACTGAAGAAGTCTGCACCATCACCCTCAGATCAACAAGAAAGAGATAAAGGTAAAAAGTGCATCCATCTTCGTGTATGCACATAGGTAGATGGCTTGAGGTTTAATTTGAAGTATACTTTCATCTGAGCATTTAGGGTTGGGCAATCAATTTGTGTTAACAAAAGGGCAAAGTGTAAATCCTGCTTCTGGGCTTCCTCTGGTCTTCAGGGTCCTCCCTCACATTTCAGGAGGCCATCCATTTAGGCACAGTGAGAATCCCAGCTGTTGTGTTTACATCTGCTCAAGGAGAAAACACCAATGCCAGTTCCCCAACAAGTGGCATGCGGGAAGACTGCAGGGGTGTGGCATGTCAACCTCAGCCAGTGGTCCATGGAAACCATGATGGAGAAGCCCTATGTGTCACTGCATCTCTGTATCTTCCAGGTCTAGACAAGAGCCCCCAGCATCCACAGAAGACTCAAGCATCCCCTTGGTTGAGTCAACAAGAAAATGAGCTCACCAATGAGTTCCTACCAAGACCACAGGCAAGCTCAGCTGCACAGACTTATAGAACTTGTAAATATGCATTTGCTTGAATAATTGGTCTGGAGAAGTCAACTTAACGTTAGTGAAACAGACTTTTGAAAACCAAACAAAGCACAGTGAAAAGGAAAGTGATCCACAAAATCATGGGTCAATAATGCTTCACTTTCCAGGATTCCGCAACCATTCAAAAAAGATCTTTAGCTCAGTGTCTTCTCAATTTATGTATTTCAGAAATAATTTTAATGTGAATTACAGCACATTATTTCTTTTTCAAATAATAGGTAGAAAAGTCGTTGGCTTTATAACAGCTGAGTAAAATACAAAAATTTAGAGAAAATTAGAAGGGGCCTTTTTTTCATTTTTAAAAATCATTTTCTTTGTGGTACTGAGGATTGAACCTAAAAATATTCTTCCATTTAGCTACATCCACAGCCTTTTTTACTTTTTATTTTGTGAGACCAGGTCCCACCAGTTTGCCTGGGCTGGTCTTGAACTTATAATCCTTTTAACTCTGCTTCCTGAGCAGCTGGGATTACAAAGTGTATACTATTATGCCCAGCTAGAAGGAACCTTTCTTTAAGAAAAGGAAACAAATGTAAGTACAATTTTATTTTCTGAAAAGAGTTGATATACATATATATGACCATATATTCATATATATGCATATATTCACCATATATATGGTGAGTGATTATCTATAACTGAATAATACTTTGTGAATTGATCCCACATTCATCTTTGTTTGCCTCTTAGCCTAATTCTTTGCTGTGCATACGGAAATAAGTATTGAAATCATTGTTCCCTAAAGATTGTCTTCATTATTTACATAATAGAAACAGCTGGAGAAGGGGAAGTGACAGTTGGTGTTCTTAAATGTACCCTGTAGATATACTGGTAAATTTTGATGTAGTATGGAAACATTAAAGACAATATGTAGAGAATGAAACAACAAGCAGGAATGTAGCAATTAAACTTTTCTTTAGAATCTTAGGTGTTTGGGGGAGTGACTATTAAATTTCCTGCTTTTGAGATTACATTTGACATTTTTTTCTCCAACAAAACCATCACAAACTTCATTCAGATGAACTCTGTCAAAACCTGAAATAATAACTGTATGGTGACATTTCGACAGTAAAAAGGATTACCTCCAAATGTCACATCAACTCAATCCCAGCGATGACAGCTACCGTCAGCTTTAATTAATCCTAGGGACACACATAGGTTTTAATGCTTTTACAACTAAGTACCACACAACCAGCAACACAGAGGGCTTTCTTTAGAAAAATAACCATAATATGTGGGGTCATTACAACCAGCAGCAAAAATCCAGCTGGATGTGATTCTCTTAAGCAGAAGAGAGGGAATGAGGAAGAAGAGATTTCAGCCATGAATGTCCCTTCTGCTAAGATTCGGGAAACTGGGTTGCCTAAGGATCCCTTTTCAGCTAGCATCATTATTGTTAGCTTTCAGTCCTTCTGGCCAAGGGACTTGCTAGATTTTCTGCCCCTCTTTAGAGAGGTGCATCACCCCTTGAACACTGTACTTCTGTTCTTACATCACCTCTGGGTTTTGGGAAGTGTCTCAGTGCTTCAAAAGATTCTGTAAATGACCTTTATTTCATAAGGAATTGAAATTTTTCATTTTCTTTTTGTTGTTGTCATTTTCTAAACTTTAAGAGGAAAAGCATATTCCAAATACCTCTTTCTCCAACATTAGGGAACTTGCTTTCAGGGCTGCTTAACATTCATGCCATCCTTTGCTAAGTATTTTTAATGTCACCTTAGTTTAAAAGGTGACAAATCAGATTCGGGTTAAAAAATCCTGGTTTGAAAATCCAAACTTTGAAATGCTCCAGAATTCCACACTTGACTTCATATGAGAACTATGGAAAATACTTCATAAAATTACATTCAGGTTATGTGTCTTAGGTGTACACAAAAACAAATACATTTCTTGTTCAGATCTGGGTCCTACCTACAAGGTGTCTACTTATGCATATGCGAACCTCTTCTGGTCCCAACCATTTCGAATAAGAAATACTCAGCATGTACATGTTAGTTACTACATAATAGTTACCATAAGATTGGGAGGTACCAACATTATTCATTGGAAAACCAACTGGATTCCACGAAAAAACAAAAACCCACTTCTAGAAGTTTAAAATGAGTATAAGTTTGAGGATAGCTGATAATAGTAGTCCGAGAAGGGATCACAGAGAACGAGTTATGCCTGTCCCCAGCACATTCATTTGCTTATTTCACATCTCCTATCAGGTACACAAAATCATATATTAATTCTGCTTAAACCATGAGCACAGTGGCATTCAGCCTTAAATGGAAGAGTCTGGGGCATGGAATCAATGTAGTTCTAAGGTTCCAGTGAAGAAGTGTAGCTGACTTGTTGCTACTGACAACAGAAATCTGATGAGAGCTCTTCAGAATCAGAATGACTTCCTTCAAAACCTAAATCAGTATCTTTCTATTTACCTGGCATCCAACATATTCATTTCAAAATTAATTACTTCACTGATGGTTACAATAGTCAACAAATCATCTGTATTTTCCCTTCCCTTGTTGTTTAAGTAAATTGCAAGTCTAAGGTGGGCAGAAAGATTACAATTTGGCACCAAAGAAAATGTCACATCTGCACTGAGTTGTTCAGAGCCCCAATGAATCTGGCAGTGACTTCCAGGGAAAAAAGATGACTAAAAGAAAGCACTCCCCAATCTGACATCCACACTACATCCCTGGTTTTTCTCACAGGTTTTGGTCTAAATCTGCATCTAGAGAGGGAAAAATATGATAGCTTTTTAGTTATTCTCAATTAGCATTTTCCATTTTGTCTTATGTATTTATTTTTCTACCCTATTAATAAATCAGTGATTTGACAGGTGCCCCACCCTTTCTCAATACAATGGCCTCAGGCATCAAAAACATAAACTATGACTTTCATTTCTGTCCATATCTAGAGAGCTGCAGCTTTGGTCATAGGGGGATTGGTATTTCTGTGTGTGCATGATCAGTGAAGGCTGTCGTAAACAAAACCCTGATTGAAATGCTTGGGACACACTTTGCTGCATTTCCTAAAGAAACATTCTTCATTGAACATGTTATTTCTAGCTCGATCATTTCACAGGTGTTACTTTATCTGATGATCTCAGGGCACTGCAGAGCTCACTTTAGTTCACAGTGTGAGTATCTTTTTGTGACTCTGTGGATCAGGGCTGGAGCAGGGGTTCAGACAGACAGATGGGTCTCCATCCTAGCATTAGGTACATTCTCAGCTCTTACTGATTATAGGGGCAGACACACGCAATTTTGAGCCAATGGATGTACACATAGAAATCTATATAGATTCGAAGATTTGTAATATGCGTTTTCCATCTACTATTGGCTTTTCACTTACCTGAAACACTATTATTATAAGTAATTAATATATGGACACAACCAGCAATCTTCTTGTATTTACCACATGCAAGTTGTTCCCTGATACAGGATACCTCTCCAGGCATCACGGGTACAGCAGAGTTAAGCAGATGCGTGTCCTCATAGCTCCTATATATCTCATCTTCCACAAAAGGGCTATCTGTACCTCTGGGGGCATGACAGTGGTCTCCAGATCATAACATCCATGTTCTGGAAACATTCCTTTTCAGTTTTGAAAAGGAATGGTGTCTCCCTGCCAGGGTAGTGAAGGCTCCCTGAGCCTGGGCAGCCACAAAGGCATGGAGATTCTTTGGCCCAAGAGAAGCACGGATGAGAAGTGGCACACTGGCAGGAAGATGATCGCGAGGTGAGGGTGATGGGGGGGGGGTAGGAGGCGTTGCTCACCACTTCCTCCTCTGCTGGCTCTTCAGCCTGTGCTTCTGGCCCAAGGTCTTTCCCAACGGCAGGTGTGGCGGCAGCAGGTGGCTCCTCCGCTGTAGGCTCTGTGGGTGCAGCCTGTTCAGATTCAGCCTGGGTGTGTTTGTTTAGGGGTTGGAAGAAAAAGATTCAACATATGACCAGGTAACATGACAGAATCCCAGGACAATTAGGATTCATGCTTCTCATTGCATAGGCAATTAACTTCATTAAATCTGTGTTGGAAAAACAGATCCTTGCCCTTGGACTCAAAAATATTTATATAAAACCTGGAGTTTATCTTTTTTAGAGCTGAGTAATACTCCATTGCATAAAAATACCACATATTTTTATATGGTAAAAATATACCATTCCTCAATTGCTGGGCATTTGGGTTGTTTTTAAATTTAGCTAAGACACATCATGCTGCCATAACCATGGGTACACATATATCACTCTGGTACATAGTTTTCAGTTCTTATGGAAAAATACCTAGCAAGAAAACAGCTGAGTTGAATATGACCTCTAATTCTAGTTTTTTTCCACTGATATTCATAGAGGCTTTACCAGTCTACACCCCATGAACGATGGAAAAGCATTCTTTTCTCCCCACAGCCCCTCTATCTTTGTTATTGGTTGACTTCTTCATTACAGCCTTTCTTTCTGGAGTGAGAGGAAATCTCAGTGTTGCTTAAATTTGAATTTCTCAAATGACCAATGATGTTGAACATTTCAAAGAGAGGGATCAACTGGGATCGGGGAAAGGAGAAAA